TTTGTATTCGTGTCTTTAACTGTAACAGTTTATCTAAACTACAGATAAACTCAGGTTCGTACCTCCGCTTTAAATATTTGAAAAGATTCTTACAGGTACAAAATTTTATTATGGCAAGGAATAAGAGGAATGTAAAGGACATAATTATGAAAACTAAGAACTAAAACAAACAACCGGTTTCGTCCCAGTACTCCTCAAGTTTGATACAATGGGAATATTTAATATTAACTTAAAAACAAAAAAATATTCAATGAGGGGGAAAAAAAAAATTCCATTAGTAAGTGTTTTAATGCTGCTAATGTGAGAGTAATATTTTCTACTCAACCAATTCTTTCTTCCAGGCGCAAGGATTTTCTGCCTCCCTTTCATATCAATTCAGTTATATATAAATTTAAATGTGGTTGCGGATGTGACTACATAGGCAGAACGTCTCAGCGTCTGGATTTTAGAATTAAACAACATTTACCCCCCAGAATTTTAAATCCGGCCGCTAACAAAAGCCAACTAGTGAATACATCCGGGTCATCTATAGCAGAACACACTATAACTAGCAGGGAATGTGTTGCTGGTTTGAGTGTTGACTGTTTTTCCATTCTGGCGAAGTCACACTCTGCATATCATTTGAAAGTTCTGGAGTCCATTTACATCAAGTCCCGCAGGCCGTTTCTTTGTAAGTAGAGAGATTGCTTGTTGGGCTTGAATGTGATTGGGCTCTAGTTCTTTCTATCATATATAAACATTTTTTTCCCTCATTGAATGTTTTTTTTTGTTTTTAAGTTAATATTAAATATTCCCAGTGTATCAAACTTGAGGAGTACTGGGACGAAACCGGTTGTTTGTTTTAGTTCTGAGTTTTCATAATTATGTCCTTTACATTCCTTGCCATAATAAAATTTTGTACCTGCAAGAATCTTTTCAAAAATATATATATATATATATATATATATAACGTCATCCACAGACAGACTGTTTCGCTGTTTACAGCTCATCAGTGTGGCTAGACATCCAGTTGCCTCTAGCTAGGATCGAAACCCAACTGAATTGGTGTCATTCGGAGCTTCTAACCAGTAAGCCGTCGGCGCACGGTAGGAATGAAGGTGGATTTTTAGCATATTTATTTTTAGAAACATGCCCAGTGATTGACAGTGACTCAATTCGCTTTCGTGAAGAGTCTCGCTATATAGCTATAATAGTAACTGTTTACCGACCCACACCTCACCCCCAGAGTGCTCAACTGAAATTAATTTCAGGAGCGAATATAACGTCAAGACCGATATATATATATATATATATATATATATATATATATATATATATATATATATATATATATATATATCGGTCTTGTTTGTTTTCTTTACATCTTTGGTTGGACTCAACTTGAGTCTGCCTTGTTCTTGTAGTTGGACCTTCTGGCAGGAATAAACAGCACGTGTTCCTAAAACAACAACACTCAAACCCACATGGTCCTCTACATGATCATCATATGCATGGCTAAACTAGACTGTAAACAATTATTACCCGACAATAAAATAATCCCATGTGAACTGGGGATAATAGCTCTACGAAAAACTTTCAAAACCAAAAAGAAGCAAAGCTAAGAAAAAAAAAACTTTTTATTTTTTATTTTTTAGTCGCATTGACACTATTTCCAGATTTTATTAGTATTTTATTTTATTTTACATTTCGAATATAAAGAAAAAAAAAAGAATGAATGAATTATTTAATTCTCAAAACAGAGGTTTTATTGAATTGAAATTCAATGGCTTTTTAAGGAGGAGCTGAAAAGTTTCCAGCCAGTCAACTTTTCAAAATCTGATTAGATGAGTGTCCTGGGTATGATGATAAACTATATCTGGCAGCAAGGAATCTGATCGGGAAGTTTTGAAAAGCATAGAACCACCTCTTAATTGCTGTTGTTCCCAGGTCCACCCTGACCCAGGGATGGTAGCACCAGTTAGGGTATCAACTATGGGCAAATAGTGACCGCCAACTTGTGGACAAAATACTATGAAAGTATCAAAATATATTTTTATAGTAAAAATACCAGCAATACATTTTCATAGTAAAAAAAAATACAAGCAATTTAAAAAAAAAATTATTACCAACAATACATTCAAAAAAAGAAATATTAATACATATTAGGAGGAGGCAGAGTGGCGTAATGCATAGTGGCTTGAATTTAGGAATCAGAGAGCCGAGTTCGAATTCCACTCGGATCCATTACATTCACTTATGTGCTAATGCCCTTAGGAAAGGTATGAATCCTCTTCTTCTAATCCTAGTTATGGGTAAATAGCAAGACAGACCAGGTTCTCTATAGACTTGGATGGAATCTAGTCTACTGCAGAAAGAAAGGGCAACCAACTGCAGGATTAAATGACCAAACATCAGGTTTCTTTTTTTTGAAAGGCTTTTTGATTGGCCTGATAACTTGTCATATATATTTATTAAAATTTACTGTTTCTCTAGGGGAAGATTTCTCAATATTGGTGAATATTGCTGATATGTCCCGGAAAGGGATATATTTGAACGAAGTAGTTAAGTGGTTTTGGCTACTATAATACGGTAGCAGTAATCGACTGGTACACGTCGTAGTCACAGGTAAGAAGTGTAGATCAATGGCGTAGTCCAATGGGCGTCATTATAGACTTAGCTCTCAGACTAAGGCTCTTGACTCTCCAACACGTCCGTCGATATTTATGACGGACACCATCCAATCACACTTCAGTGAGGGGGAACACAGGTGTACGCATATTCCATTATATCAATTACGGAAAAAACCATCATTTGATCCAACGTGCTTTGAACGCTTGACCTTGAAGAACTTCATAATTAAGCAAGATTCTATTTGCCCTTAAAGCACACTAGTAAGGAGGATTTTTTTGCAGTCACTATAATCTTGACCACTTCAAGTCTAGGGTTAACTGTTATTTTTCCTTTTATTTCTTACCTTTTCTCATGCTCATGCAATATTATACAATAACCTTCTACCTTGAGTAGGTCTTGGGCCTAAAACTTCACTAAAGAGACGCTACGAGAAGCAATATTTGCCTAAACAGTAAATCTGCTGTTCTGTCATTGTTTACCACTTCCTGATTTTGATATTTTCTCAAAAGCATAATTTTGGGATTGGCACCTGGGAGAAAACTCTGTGGTCAATTCCTGGTGAATGAATAGATGAATGTCGTGACATGTTTTACTGACCACAGCGCCTGTCTTTAGGCATACTTTAGTGTCTTGACCTCAAGGACATCATTTAGAGTGCTTTTGTCCCCTATTCAGGCTGGCCACTTAATTCAACTATTGTTTTCTTTCTTGTCGTTTTTTCCGAGTGACAGAGAGAAACAGAAGAAAAGATAAGAAGACAAACTTGAATGAAGGAGAGGATAACGAAAAAGAAGAAAAAGAAGAAAAAAGAAAATGAGAAGTGAGATAAAAAGAGAGAATTGAATAAAGGAGAGGAGAGGAAAAAAGAAAGATAAGAAAATGAGAAGAATGATAAAAAGAGAGAATTGAATAAAGGGGAGGAGAGGAAAAAAGAAAAAAAGAAAAAAATGAGGAGAAAGATAAAAAGAGAGAATTTAATAAAGGAGAGGAGAGGAAAAAAGAAAAAAGAAGAAAATGAGGAGAAAGATAAAAAGAGAGAATTTAATAAGGGAGAGGAGAGGAAAAAAGAAAAAGAAGAAAATGAGGAGAAAGATAAAAAGAGAGAATTGAGTAAAGGAGAGGAGAGGAAAAATGAATTAAAATTTGAAAAAGAGAATAATAAGAAGAGAGAATTGAATGAAGACGACAATAGAAAAAACAATAAAAATAGAATGAAAATAAAAAAGAAAGTTAGTTAAGATGAAGAAACAAAGAGGGGGATGAATGAAACAGGAAAAAGAGAATGAAGAGAATATAAGAAATAGCGGGAAGAAGAAGAAACACAGGGTGTGCTGAGTGATAAGAAACAAAAAGAAAAGTAATATAAGAAAAAGATATTGAAAACAATATGAGAAAGAGGGAGAAGAGAAAAAACAAAGTGAGTGATGAGTGGGAAGAAGAAAAAAGAAAAGGAAAAGAAGAAAATAGAATGAAAATAATATGTGAAAAAGAAAGAAAAGAGAAAGAGACAAGGTTATGAGTGGCAAAATAAAGAAGGAGGAAAAAAAGAAACAAGAAAAAGATAATGAAAAGGATATGAGAAAAAGAAAGAGGCAGAAGAAAAAGAGACAAAGTGAGAAAGAAGAAAAAGAAAAGAAACATGAGAAAGGTAATGAAAAGAATATATGAAAGAGAAAGAGGGAAAAATGTGAAGAGGATAAAGGGTGAGAAGAGAAAAAGAAGAGAGATTGAGAGAAAATGTAAACTAACACGACAAAAGACGGAGTAAAGATCCAGATGACAAAAGACGGAGCAAAGATCCAGATGACAAAAGACGGAGTAAAGATCCAGATGACAAAAGATCCAAAGATCCAGATGACAAAAGACGGAGCAAAGATCCAGATGACAAAAGACGCAGCAAAGATCCAGATGACAAAAGACGCACAAAAGATCCAGATGACAAAAGACGCAGCAAAGATCCAGATGACAAAAAAGACGCAGTAAAGATCCAGATGACAAAAGACGGAGCAAAGATCCAGATGACAAAAGACGCAGCAAAGATCCAGATGACAAAAGACGCAGCAAAGATCCAGATGACAAAAGACGGAGCAAAGATCCAGATGACAAAAGACGCAGCAAAGATCCAGATGACAAAAGACGGAGCAAAGATCCAGATGACAAAAGACGGAGCAAAGATCCAGATGACAAAAGATGACAAAGATCCAGATGACAAAAGACGCAGCAAAGATCCAGATGACAAAAAGACGGAGCAAAGATCCAGATGACAAAAGACGCAGCAAAGATCCAGATGACAAAAGACAAAGATCCAGATGACAAAAGACGGAACAATGATCCAGATGACAAAAGACGGACAAAGATCCAGATGACAAAAAGACGCAGCAAAGATCCAGATGACAAAAGACGGAGCAAAGATCCAGATGACAAAGACGAGCAAAGATCCAGATGACAAAAGACGGAGCAAAGATCCAGATGACAAAAATGACAAAAGACGGAGCAAAGATCCAGATGACAAAAGACGGAGCAATGATCCAGATGACAAAAGACGGAGCAAAGATCCAGATGACAAAAGACGGAGCAAAGATCCAGATGACAAAAGACGGAGCAAAGATCCAGATGACAAAAGACGGAGTAAAGATCCAGATGACAAAAGACGCAGCAAAGATCCAGATGACAAAAGTGAAAGAAAAAATGAAAACAGAAAAAAAGCTAATTGTGAGAAAAAGGGAAAAACATGAATATTTAGAATTTGAGGAAGCAGAAAAATAAGAAGCAGCTATAAAGGTAAATGAAAAAGAATGTACAAGATGATAAAGAAGAGAAAAAGACTGTAGACAAATTGAATCATTATATAAATTGCATGAATACAGACTGAAACAATAACCTTTATCACTTTTCTTAGTTTCTTGCTTGTTTTTTTCTCTTTCTTCTTTTTCTTCTCTTTTTCTTTCTTCTTTTCTTCCTTCTCTTTCACTTTATTCTTCTTTTCCTTCTCTTGCTCTTCTTTCTTCTATTTCTCTCCTTTTTCTTTTTCTTCTTTTTCTTTCTCTTCTTTTTTTCTTCCTCTTTCTTTTTTTTCTTCTTCTGTCCTTTCTCTTTTTTCTTCTTTTCTTTATCTTTCTTCTCTTCTGTCTCTCCCTCTTTCTTCTTCTTTTCCTTCTATTTCTCTTTCTTATTCTCTCTTTTCTCTTTCTTCTTTTTCTCTTTCTCTTCCTTTTTTCCTTCCTCTTCTTTTTCTTCTTCTCTCCTTGCTCTTTCTTTCTTCTTCTCTTTCTCTTCCTTTTTTCCTTCCTCTTCTTTTTCTTCTTCTCTCCTTACTCTTTCTTCTTTTTCTCTTTCTCTTCCTTTTTTCCTTCCTCTTCTTTTTCTTCTTCTCTCCTTTCTCTTTTTCTTCTTCTCTTTATCTTTCTTCTCTTCTGTCTCTATCTCTATTTCTTCTTCTCTTCCTTCTATTTCTCTTTCTTCTTCTCTCTTTTTTCTTTCTTCTTTTTATCTTTCCCTTCCTTTTTTCCTTCCTCGTTCTTCTTTTTCTTCTTCCCTCCTTTCTCTTTTTTCTTCTTCTCTTTATCTTTCTTCTCTCCTTTCTCTTTTTTCTTCTTCTCTTTATCTTTCTTCTCTCCTTTCTCTTTTTTCTTCTTCTCTTTATCTTTCTTTTTTCCTTCCTCTTCTTTTTCTTCTTCTCTCCTTTCTCTTTCTTCTTTTTCTCCTTCTCTTCCTTTTTCTTTCCTCTTTCTTCTTTTTCTTCTTCTCTCCTTTCTCTTTTTTCTTCTTCCCTTTATCTTTCTTCTCTTCTCTCTCTCTCTTTTTTCTTCTCTTCCTTCTATTTCTCTTTCTTCTTCTCTCCTTTTTCTTTTTTCTTTTTATCTATCCCTTCCTTTTTTCCTTCCTCTTTCTTCTTTTTCTTCTTCCCTCCTTTCTCTTTTTTCTTCTTCTCTTTATCTTTCTTCTCTCCTTTCTCTTTTTTCTTCTTCTCTTTATCTTTCTTTTCTTCTGTCTCTCCCTCTTTCTTCTTCTCTTCCTTCTATTTCTCTCCTTTCTCTTTCTTCTTCTTCTCTTTCTCTTGCTTTTTTCCTTCCTCTTCTTTTTCTTCTTCTCTCCTTTCTCTTTCTTCTTTTTCTCTTTCTCTTCCTTTTTCCCTTCCTCTTTCTTCTTTTCTTCTTCTCTCCTTTCTCTTTCTTTCTTCTTCTCTTTATCTTTCTACTCTTCTGTCTCTCCCTCTTTCTTCTTCTCTTCCTTCTATTTCTCTTCCTTCTTCTCTCTTTTCTCTTTCTTCTTTTTCTCTTTCTCTTCCTTTTTTCCTTCCTCTTCTTTTTCTTCTTCTCTCCTTTCTCTTTTTTTCTTCCTCTCTTTATCTTTCTTCTCTTCTGTCTCTCTCTCTTTGTTCTTTTCTTCCTTCTCATTCTTTTTTCTTCTTTCTCTTTTTCCTTTTCTTCTTTCTCTTTTTGGTAGTTTTGGACCTTCATGCTAACAAAAAATATCAGTATGTCAAAAGTATTTAAACTATCATTAGTCCTCAGCAGTGTTCATCCATTTAAAAGGTGATGTTTAGAATTTTAGCAAAAACCTAAATATCTGAAATTGAATTTATACATTTTCTTTGTTCTTGAGAATTGACAACAAAAATAATAAACACTATTTTATATATCAGATTGTTTATTTACAGTCTTTATTTATTATATTCTTTATTGGAATGGTCGATAAACAATTGCCAATCAATTAGAACTTTATAAAATGGTAAATAATAAGGATTTGCTTATAGTCAGTTCACATATTTAAAAAATTTGGTAAATGTTTATAAATTTTTAAATAAAATATTGTTTTCATATTTGTGGTGGACTCTCCTATCATGAACGATAAATGAGGGTCAGAAATGGATGGCGCCTTTTGTTTTACACTTATGCATCCTAGCAGGGGCTATTGTGAAGAAAATCACATAAGGGAAAGACAAATTTCATTTGTGCTTTCTTAAGTGTGATACTAGCTCAGCCTTGCGGTGGGCGACAAAGCCACACTGACAGATGAAATTTGTTAAAGCAGGATTTTGATGGTGTCTCTGTTTCAGAGCTTGATGAAGCTGATCACAGTGCTTCAGTCTACTGTCTTCAAAACCCTTTAACTTAATGAAATATGTCTTACGCCACTCCTTTCAGTTTGATGCTTGGGCTTCCCAGGTTTTCATATTTCTTTATAAATTGGTAAGTTGCATTGCATTAGTTTTAATATAAATGTGTTAGTTTTTTATAATCTTGTATATATAAAATTATTCTTGTAAGGCTTCAAGAACACCAGAAAGCTGTAACATGAGGGGAAGTAGAAAAATCAGGCGTGGCTGACCACATATGGAGAGAGAAGGGAGATCACCGCCCTCTGTAGGATCATGTTGAGATCATAGACAAGGAACACCATTGGAAAATTCGTAAACTTAAGCACATATGCTAGGCCACAAAAATCTCATGAGCCGACCAAGCATAGAAATAAATACAATATGTGAACCAGTAATAAAGAGTGCCAGAGAAAAGCAATAACAGCAAAAATTGCAATATGAGCACTGGTATAAATGGTTGCTGAAGACATTAGGTTTATAATACCCAGAAATTCATACCCATATGTCCTCAATGACACATGTCACTGTGGATAAAGGCATTGGTTAGATCCAGTGACAGGACCCAAAGAGTGTGAGTTCAATACCTGGTTAAGGCAGTGGAGAACTTTCAGAGGGAAAATTAACAGGAGATAACTGATAACTGACATCCATCAAACATGGAACTAGAATAGTCTACGCCAGTGAGTGAAATAAAGGGTTCAGTTCGAAATTCCAACCACCTGAAGAAGGCTGGAGTGTACAACAGCTGAAACGTTGTGATAAATATGGTGACAAAGATGAGGACAATAGTCCGAATAATGTAAAATATTTTTGTTTTTTTTTTTCTCAAGAAAAAAATATATAAAGTCACTTTCATCATATGTTTAGGTTTCATCACAATCCTAATCATCACTTTTTAAAACAATAAACATGGCTGAGGGGTGAAGGTAGTTAAAATAATAGTGGTGTCAAGGGAAAAACTGTCCTTTTGAAAGTTCCAAGACTGTCCTCATTCTCTCTCTTCTCTTTCTTATATCTTCTGTTCTTCTATTGTAGGGTTGTGAGCAAAAAGGGCAGCGCAATATGGAAAATACAAATTGGAGATGCCAAAATTAAAAAAGTAAAAACAATTTAAATATCTGGAAAGTGTTTTAACAGAGGACAGAAAGTGCAACATTGAAATCCAAAGGTGCATTGGGGATAACAAAAGATGCCTTCCAAAGACTAAGCAAAGTATTAAGAAACAGGAAAATCTTGTTAGAAACAAAGGAAAGAATACTGAACTGTAATGTATTATCAGTCCTCCTATATGCCAGTGAATGCTGGGCAATATCCTCACAGATGAAGAAGAAACTTAAGGCAAGAGAAATGTGGATCTACAGAAGGATGCTGAGAATTTTATGGACATAACATGTGAGCAGCCCCAAAGTTTTAGAGAAAATAGAAACCAAAAGGACTCTTATACTTAACATCAGGAAGAGAGATTTGAAATTTCTAGGGTACATAATGAGGAAATTGGGCTTGGTAAATTTGATACTCACAAGGCAGATTAAAGGCAAGGGGGACAGAGGGAAAAACCACATATCCTATGTAAAATAACAAGAAATCCTACACAATCTTAACAGCATAAGATATGCAGATGACAGAGTGTTGACAGCATGCAAAGAAAAGAAATTGTAACATCTCCTAGAGGAAGTAGTAAAGGAAAGTGTGAAGAAAAGACTAAACATCAACTGCAAGAAGACAAAATGCACGGTTGACAGCAAAAGGGACACTCCAAAATGCAAATTACAAATTGGAGATACCAACATCAAATGGGTTCAACAATTCAAATATCTGTGAAGTGTTTTAACGGAGGATGGAAAGTGCAACATTGAAATCCAAAGGTGCATTCGGGATAACAAAAGATGCCTTCCAAAGACTAAGCAAAGTATTAAGAAACAGGAAAATCTCATTAGAAACAAAGGAAAGAATACTGAACTGTAATGTATTATCAGTCCTCCTATATGCCAGTGAATACTGGACAATCAACTCACATATAAAGAAGAGACTTAAGGCAACAGAAATGTCGCTCTACAGAAGGATGCTGAGAATATCATGAACATAACATGTGAGTAAACACAAAGTTTTAGAGAAAATAGAAACAAAAGGGACACTTATACTTAAGATCAGGAAGAGAGAGTTGAGATTTCTAGGCACATGAGAAAATCAGGCTTGGTAAATTTGATACTCGCAAGGGAGACAGAGGAAAAAAGCACATATCCTACCTAAGAGAACTAGAAATTCTACACAGTATTAACAGCATAAGATATGCAGATGACATAGTGCTGATAGCAGACAAAGACAAAGGAAAGAAATTGTAAGATCTCCTAGAGGAGGTCGTAAAGGAAAGTGAGAAGAAAGGACTAACCTTCAATTGCAAGAAGACAGAATGCATGGTTGTTATCAAAAAGAACAGCCCAACATGCAAATTACAAATAATGAGGAAAAGAAGGCTTTGAAAATTTGATACTCACAGGACATTGAAGACAAGAGAGAAAGAGGAAAAAATGCTTAGCCTACCTTGCAAGCTTGTTAAAATTGATGGTGGAAGGTTTAATTAGGTTAAGATACCAAAAAGACAAAATTTATTAAGAGCTACAAAGGGCAGGAAATTGTGGAGAGAAATGCTCACCAATGTTCTGAAGTGACACAGCACGTAGAAGAAAAAGATATTAATTTTTTTTCTTTTAGTATATCAGGTTTTTTTTTTGGCATTTTTTTTTAGTCACATGTCTTTCTTCTCTTTCATCATCATCTTGTTTTCATCTTCTTTTCTTTCTTCATCTTCTTTTCTTCATCTTTTTCTCTTTCATCATCATCTTTTCTTCATCTTTTTCTCTTTCATCATCTACTTCTCTTCATCTTCTTTTCTTTCTTCATCATGTTTTCTTCATCTCTTTCATCATCATCTTCTCTTTCTTCATCTTTTTTCTTCATCTTCTCTTTCATCATAATCTTTTCTGCATCTTTTTCTCTTTCATCATCTTCTCTTCATCTTCTTCTCTTTCTTTATCAACTTTTCTTCATCTTCTTTTCTTCATCTTCTCTTTCTTCATCTTCTTTTCTTCATCATCTTCTCTTTCTTCATCTTCATTTTTTCATCTTCTCTTTCTTCATCTTCTCTTTCCTCATCTTCTTTTCTTCATCTTCTTCTCTTTCATCATCAACTTTTCTTCATCTTCTCTTTCTTTATCAACTTTTCTTCATCTTCTTTTCTTCATCTTCTCTTTCTTCATCTTCTTTTCTTCATCATCTTCTCTTTCTTCATCTTCATTTTTTCATCTTCTCTTTCTTCATCTTCTCTTTCCTCATCTTCTTTTCTTCATCTTCTTCTCTTTCATCATCAACTTTTCTTCATCTTCTCTTTCTTTATCAACTTTTCTTCATCTTCTTTTCTTCATCTTCTCTTTCTTCATCTTCTTTTCTTCATCATCTTCTCTTTCTTTATCAACTTTTCTTCATCTTCTTTTCTTCATCTTCTCTTTCTTCATCTTCTTTTCTTCATCATCTTCTCTTTCTTCATCTTCTTTTCTTCATCTTCGCTTTCTTCATCTTCTCTTTCTTCATCTTCTTCTCTTTCTTCTTCATCTTTTCTTCATCATCTTCTCTTTCTTCATCTTTTCTTCATCATCTTCTCTTTCTTCATCTTCTTTTCTTCATCATCTTTTCTTCATCTTCTCTTTCTTCATCTTCTTTTCTTCATCTTCTTTTCTTCATCTTCTTTTTCTTCATCTTCTCTTTCTTTTCTTCATCTTCTTTTCTTCATCTTCTCTTTCTTCATCTTCTTTTCTTCATCATCTTCTCTTTCTTTATCAACTTTTCTTCATCTTCTTTTCTTCATCTTCTCTTTCTTCATCTTCTTTTCTTCATCATCTTCTCTTTCTTCATCTTCTTTTCTTCATCTTCGCTTTCTTCATCTTCTCTTTCTTCATCTTCTTCTCTTTCTTCTTCATCTTTTCTTCATCATCTTCTCTTTCTTCATCTTTTCTTCATCATCTTCTCTTTCTTCATCTTCTTTTCTTCATCATCTTTTCTTCATCTTCTCTTTCTTCATCTTCTTTTCTTCATCTTCTTTTCTTCATCTTCTTTTTCTTCATCTTCTCTTTCTTTTCTTCATCTTCTTTTCTTCATCTTCTCTTTCTTCATCTTCTTTTCTTCACCTTCTTCTCTTTCTTCATCTTCCTTTTCCCAACATTATTTGCTTCATCGTCATTTTTCTTTTCTTTCTTTATCTCAATGTTTTCTTACCCCTCTTCTTTTTCTTCTTTTTCCTACATGACATCCTCCCTCATCCTTCTCTATCTCAATAATCCATCCAATTAATTTCTCCTCCTCTTGCTTCATTCTTTATCTTAACATTATTCTAAGACACTTCCTCTTATTTTTATTATTATTTTCCTTTCTGTTTTCTTCTTAAAATTTTCTCTTTATAGCTTCTACCCAAAGGGGCTAATGTCACTGCCCCAGGAGATTAAAACCTGGTGTAACTTAGCATGAGTCAGGTGCAGGGCAGAGGTTTTTCCTTGACCAGTGGTCAGCCAAGCCATTAGACATAATGGACAGCATGCCGAGACAGCATAAAATATGACACAAAATGAGTGTTAAGAAGATCTTATATGATCAAGGTGTACATAAGAAAGGTATGGATACCTTGTTTATCGCCATTCATGGCCGACTGATATGAATCCCTAATGAGATGGAAGTTTTCAGATGGATAAGTGGTGTTGAGCTGCTAGTCAGGACATGAATTATTAACCCCTGCAATGGTCAGCATAGACCTGGAGCCAGAAGATCACCAGTGTTCACCAATGACCGTCATGTGGAGAGGTCACTATCAATGCCTGGGGTAAAGGTTGCCCTTCCATTATAATGGCCGACAATGTTTGGTGATCAGTCAGCATTAATGTACACCGCTAATAACATTCATGTTTTAAATAATAAATTTTCTTTTATAAAAGCAATGTAATTACAAAAGCATAAATATATTTTTTTTTCTTAGTTACAAAGATTGTAAGAAAAAAAATATGGTTATAAGCAAGAGGGAGAACCCAAGATTTGATCCACAAATTCTTCTTCTTCTATGTGCCATATCCCTCCAGGATGTAGGTGATCATAGCTCTCCACAACTTCCTGTCCTTTATAACTCTGAGTAAATTTAATCTTTTGTTATCCCTCCTAAATCTTATTCTGCCATCTATTTACATAAGCTTTTTAGGATGGTTATGCACGTTTCCCTGTCTCTCCAGCTTGCCTTCAGTCGGCTCTGTGAGTATCAAATTTACCAAGCCCTCTTTTCTCATTATGTGCTCTGAAAATTTCAAACATCTCTTTTTGATGTTAACTATCAGTATTTTTTTTGTCTCTATTTTCTTTAAAACCTTGCTTACAGGTTCAGTCCATAGTATTCTCAGCATCCTTCTGTAGAACCACATTTCTGTTGCCACGAGTTCTTCATCTCGGAGGAGATTGTCCAGCATTCAATTCCCTATAGGAGGGCTGATATTATGTTCAGAAATCATTTATTTATTTCTGGGGAGATTTTCCTTTTTCTTAATACTTCACTTAACTTTCGGAAGGCATGTTTCACTATCCTTATGTGGATTGCGGTGTACCACATTGCATTTTCTATTCAAAGACAGATATTTAGATTTTTGTACTTTTCGTATCTCCAATTTGTAATTTGCATGTTGCACTGTTACTTTTGCTAACAACCATGCATTCTGTCTTCTTGCAGTTGATGTTTAGTCCTTTCTTCTCTCTTTCCCTCACTACATTCTGTAAGAGTTCTTATAGTTTCCTTTCTATTTTTGTTATCAGCACTCTCTCATTGACATATTTTATGTTGTTAACATTGTGGTTGCCAATATTGAATCCTGGTAGGACTTCTAATTCTCTCAGAATCACCTCACTGTTTAGATTAAATAAGTCTGGTGAGAAGACAACTCTTTGTCTTATACTCCTTTCTATTTTTGTATATTTACTGAATTCATTTCCTATCTGCATGCAGGCAGTTTGCTGCTAGTATAGGTTCTGGATTATTCTGATATACTTCCCAAATCAAAATCACTCAAGAGCAGAAGTTTAGATAGACAAATATCGCTTAGAGCTACAAAGGATCAGAAGTTTGGGAGAGCCATGATTATACAAATCCTGAAGAGAGGGAGAAGGTATAAACATAAATTACTAGAATCATATACTTCTTAGAAATATAGGATTCTAGTAATTTTGTGTACAATGAAACAGTTAATACTGTACAAATAATACAAGGCAAGATGGCTGCCTGCCTGTACTGAAATCGGCATTCTAAATCTTAGCTTTCCATACACTTAATAAAAGTATTAACTGTTTCAAGTGGACAATTCACATTATCACGATCAACAAAGAACTCCAGAGATAATATCAGAATGTAATAATTAGGTTCAGTCATATGTGACAAATTATATAAATAATATACATTTTTTATCATTGGTACATTGATAGGTGTGTGGATTGATTAAGGTAGGTTTCAATTAGGAAGATTAAGCAGTGTATGGTGATAACAGCACTTAATAAATATACAACTACTCACCACTTATATATATATATATATATATATATATATATATATATATGTAAAATGAGAACAAATAGAGTACAATTACAATGCTCATAAAATTCAATTTAAAAGAGGGCTCAATACAAAGTAGAGCAATATTCTTTATTTTAAGATAATACATCAAAAAATATGTCACAAATGCTACACAAATGCAGTTTCATTTCCATGCAAAATACAACTAGAATTGTGTAGCATTTTTGGACATGTTTTCAATACAGTACCCTAAAATAAATATATATATATATATATATATATATATATATATATATATATTTAAGCGTTTCACCCCAAACAAGGCGGGAAGCCACTAGGACACAAGGGGTCACAGAAGATTTGGAGCAAGATCAGATAGGAGTGATAGAGGAAAGGATGAGGAGAAGGGTAGTGGATAGATCAAGGCAACTGGAGATGTCGACTGACATTACATTTGAATAGTTGGAGATTATAGCTCTCAGGGAAACTGGAATAGAGAAAGGAGTTCCACAGGCGAGAGGTGCGAGATATGAAGCTATTGGAGTAGAAGAGACGGCTACATTTAAGAGTTTCAGCAGTGCAAGAGAGTCGAGAGAAGCTGCAATATCTTTAGTTATAATGTGGATTTTTAAATATATATTATACTTCATTTTCCGTATTTTTGCTACATGTGTATCGGGTCTTGCAACCATCATCAGGT